CCCCCCCCCCCCCCCCTCTTTTGAGCCGATTCTTCCAAGCCCATTCCCTTCGCTGTGGGAATTGTGTTCAACCACCAGTACTTGGCCCAGCTATCGAGTCCAAGCCTCCCGCTACCGGTATGCCGAGCCTGGCCGATCCTAGAGCTACTGCTAGTGGGAGAGTCTTCATTTCTGCAAACAAAAACAACAAAGAAGCAAAAAAAAAAAAAAAAAACGAAAGAGGTTCTACTTTTTTTTTAATAAAAAAAAAAACAAAAAACAAAAAAAGAAAACCCGGGAGAGAGAGAGAGAGAGAGAGAGAGAGAGAATCACGGCGAGACTGCCGCGGCGCTCCGTGAAGCTCTCTCTCTCTCTCTCTCTCTCAGCCAGTGTACTGAACTGCAAAATAGAACAATTAGACCATGGGATATCTCTGGTCGAGCATGATAGTCGCATCCTTTTTTCTCCTTTTTCCTTTTTCTTTTTTGACCTTCGATGCAGCGGTTCCCCTTAGTGAGGCGATGAAGGCATCCTCCCTAAGTGGTCCCCTGAGCTGAAGGCTCCATCTATTGGTGGGGGCAGCTGCACCTGCTGGAAACCGGGTCCAGCATCCCCTTATGGTACAACAATGATACCATGTGTGTCCGGTACGACAAATTGAGGAGGCCGAGCGCCGTCGATAAAATGAATCGGCGGCGGGCGGTCTCTGAAAGGGGCACACGGCCGATAGCTGGCATGCACCTGCCGGCGCCTGCCGGTCACCGCCCCCCTTCCAGGTTCTGGCCCTTAGTCCAATCCTCTTTCCTGGCCGTATGGAACGCCGGGCGACAATGTAATTTCTTTCGTGATATTTAAACTCCGAATTAAATTGTTTTTTACGAATTTTCTTAATTTTACATTCTCTTAATTCGCCATTGGACAAAGGACCTGAACCTCAATTTTTCGGAGAGGCTCAAAACAGGAGGTTCTCCAGTTGCCTGGGGCCATGTACTGGTGGTTTAAGAGAAAACAACTCAGTTCAATCAACAGTCGATATTGATGAACTTTCTTCACATTTCATGAAATGATTTTTTTCTCCCTGGACCTCACCTCTCCTTTTCTGCACTCTCTTTTTGGATGTCATTTTCAGATCTTTCTATTCTTGTTGGTAAATTAAATTATATTAAATTAAATAATTTAAATTAAATTAAATCTGATTTGGTTTTCTGTGCAGGCCTGGGACAGGATCTCAGTCACTGGAGAGTTCTCTTCAATCTCTACGACCAGGATCTGCTCGGCCTGTGACAGCATCTGGAAGGTAATTGAATCATCACCCCCCCCCCCCCCCCCCCCCCCCCCCCCCCCCCCCCCCCCCCCCCCCCCCCCCCCCCCCCTCTCTCTCTCTCTCTCTCTCTCTCTCTCTCTCTCTCTCTCTCTCTCTCTCTCTCTCTCTCTCTCTCTCTCTCTCTCTCTCTCTCTCTCTCTCTCTCTCTCTCTCTCTTTCAGAAAATAAAAGATCTCCGTTTTGACGAAATCGCTGTTAATTGCAAATGTGCAGATATGTTCGGCTGGGAACGCCTTCGATGGTTTCAGAGAAAGGAGGGTCTTTTATCAATGTAAGGATCAATTACCAGAGGGCCTTAACCGTTTGTCCTTCTATTCTCTGCTTCTCCCTCTCAGCCCCTCTGGTCCTCCAACAAACCCTCCCAGGCCCACCTCACCCACACACATGGACTATCAGTCATGCTAGTAGATATCCCTAACTGAGTGGGTGTATAGAGTGGGCTTTATGGCTATGGCAGAATAGTTTGTCGCTAATGGCAGTAATCATTCTCATCAGGGGTTCGGTCGAACTGAGGGTCTGCTAGGCTTCCAGGATTGGTGTGAGTAGAGCCAACCACTTTTCTCCATCGAGGGTGTCGCTAACTCCGGGCAATGTCGCGAGTCCTTATACCTACATCGGTCAAACACATCCTTGGCCAGAAAGGTTAACATTGCCAAGCCATAGTCAAACAATGTGGCGAGTCCTTATACATACATCAGGCGATCAGAGTCCGACCACCTCATAAGTCATTGAAAGTTGGATGAAAAAGTTTGGCACAGTCATAATGATCCTTTCTTGTGGATTTGTGTATAGCCCAGCCGACAATGCACATATTATGGGCAACATCGTCGCAACAAAGACCATGTGAAAACCCACATACAGACTTTCCTCATTGAATATGACCTTGTTTTCCCTCCAGATACTTCATTTTCGGTTTGTGTGTGTTTGGTTGGTTGTGGGCGGGGGGCGAAGACCCCGAAGAGGGGGCGAAGAAGGTTAACGAGGCACAGGGGTAGGGGTATGTGGAGAAAGAAGATGGGCAGATGGGAGAAAGGAAGCCAGGGGAGGAACAGGAGAAAGAAAGGGGCAGAAAAAAGAGGGAAGGGGGGTTGATTTCACAATCTTTGCAACATTCTGATGCCCCCCCCAACCATCCCGTCGCCAATCCCCCCCCTCCCCCCCCACCCCTCCCGCCCTCGCCTCCCTCTCTTCTGCCCCTCAGAGAGAAAAAGGGGCAGAAGAGAGCGAAGGGTGGGGCGGGGGTGCTTTCATGTATAATGCGACACTCCCAACATCTAGCACTCACAGGCTTTTTGCTTCTTCATCCTATTCTCCATCCCATGCCTAAGGGCCAGGCCACAGTGCTGCTATGTTTTTCAAAAGAAAATAAAGGGCTCCAGGCCACGCTGCTGATATATTAATGCAAACTGCATGAACCTAGTCGCAGTTAGGACTAGTTGCATGCGAACCTCGAATATGTCATCGTATGAAAGCGGTCTCAAAGGAAAAGAGAAAGTTGAACGAAACAATTCGCAGGGGACTTGGAACCCATGAGGGTGGGAATGCGAGGCCCAAGGGACTCTTGGCATTTAGGGGGTGGTAGGCCCTAAGGGGCATGTGACCTGGTTGGCTGGGATGAGGCCGCAGTGGCCAGGCGGAGGAAGCAAGGGCCTGGTTGGGATCTCGACCGGATCGACTGGGATACCATACCATACCAGCAATCTGAGGTGTTCCGGAAAAAGAGGCCGTACTGGGCGGTGGGGACCCTGGCCTGGGTACATATGCAACCGGCTGGTAAGCAGCCGCACATTCCTGTCGGGCAGAGGGTGGCTCAGGCCACCAGGTTGCTTGAGGCTTGAGCGCACGAGCACACACTGGCAGCGCTAGCAGCAATGGCCGGCGATGGAGAGAGAAAGCAGCGCCAGTCAAAGCCTGATGCCGAGAGAGAGAGAGAGAGAGAGGTTGCAAGGAGGGGAGATCTGTGGAGGAAGGGGGAGGGCTTAGGGGGGGAGAGTTGGCAGCGGACTCAACATCCCACTCCCAACACCTGCCGACTCTTTTTTTTTTTTTTTTTTTTTTTTTTTAAACAAACAGCCCTGTCAGTGTTAGTGCTGCTGATAGGAGCAGTCACCACTAACACTTAGGGGGAGGCTCCATCTATTGGTGGGGAGCATCACCTGCTGGAAACCGGGTCCAGCGTCCCTTAAACAGAACTTAAGAATGTCTGAGAACAGTGATTGTGAGACCTGCCAGCATTGATTGCCCTGTCTCCAGGGGATTTACTGAGCAGGTGTATGTCTATCATCATGATGTGGCCCGTTGTTTCCCGTATCTCTTCAACCCCGGGGGGGTGCCAGATGTCCCATTAAGCTCTGATACTTCTTCACGAGCGCGTGACATGGGCGTGACATGCAGCCTCCCAGTCTGTATAATCTGAGTAATAGAGCAGGCGCTGCCCCTTGTATCCCTTCGTCCCTCGGAATGGGGGGGGCAGATAAGTCCCTGAATGCTGATACGATTCTGAAAATCCCTCCGATTGCACTCCGATTGCACCTTGCAGCGCGACCTGCTCCTTACTGCATGCCATAGTATGGTGCGAGACTTCTCCCCTAGGGGGCTCTAGGGAAGACCTGCGCCAGATGCATGAATTCCGCCATCATTCAGGATAAGATTTCTGTTAGTGACAAAGAATGGGGTGGAAAGGGGCCCGGGAAGTCGGAGGGGGGGCGTAATGGGAATGAAGATTCAATGTTTGTCCAGTCCTTAAAGACTAACTTATAATCCCTTATTTCTTCCAGATTCTGCATTCCTTCTCCATTGTCGCCACTCCACTCCACTTTCGCTATCCATCCCTCTCTGTCCCCTCCCACCCAATCTGAGCAGAATGTTGTAACCTGTCTTCTAACATCTCCGGTTTGTTTTCGCAGGTCCAGTTGAGACTTTGTATCCAACCATTTATGTGTAAGTTCGAAACGGACCTGCTGTCGTATTTGTTCTGTAATCTCGGAGCTGTCCACCTGTACTTTTTCCATTGTCAAGGTGCACCTCTGCCACCACAGTGCCCATATTACCGCTCGCCTTCCTAATCTATACATATTTCCAATGAAGTTGGTGGCTGTTTCTGCCTGGGGCCAGTGGCCAGGCAGTATTGCCTGCCATGACCACGGCCAGGGGATATTAGGTTCCAACTTGCGCCAAATGCGATCCCACCATCTCCATGTAAATTGGGCAATTGGGCATTGCATGAAGATATGCTCAATGGTCTCCGCTTTCTTGTGAAAGGGGAAAAGTTCCTGGCATCGCTGACACTATGGGAGGAGCAGTCCTTTTTGTTCCAGATTTGTTCTATCAACCAACCAATCATTTGTTGGCAGCAGCGATGAACTATTTGCCATTGAAGGGACGTAATTTTCATAGGCTTATGTTTCTGCTCCTTAAACCATTTGATTGGTGACAGTAAATTACGGTCAATGTTCAAATGTCGGGCCCATCTGTCCTTGATTACATCCTTCAGGTTTCTCTTGGGCCTAAGCTTGTTATATGTTGTTTTGGTTGTTAGCTGTCGCAGGGTGGTATGGCCTTTCTTCGTTAGCCCCCTCCTTTGGGGGAACTGCCAATTCCATTCCGCCGGGTCCAAGGGTAAGTCCTGGATTGGTTTATCTGGCTGGTAAACCTCTCTATGTCCCACCTCTTCTAAAACTCTTACCCGGTATACTGCAGCTCTGTCCTTCCATTCGAAAGGGGCCATACTCCCTTGGAGTGTACCCTCCTGTGTGACAGCATAGGTTTCGACTAGGACTGTGTGTGGTGAAGTTGAGTGAATCAGGCCAACTTTCGACGGGGCCTCTGCCACTGCTATCCAATCCCCTTCCTTCAATTTAGGGCCCCGCTTGAGGATCCGATACCATTCCAATGGAATAATATCGATAAGGTTTTCCAGAAGTTCGTTGACATGGTGGCAGTATCTTAATTTCGCCCGCATTTGGTCCGCTGTCTTCCACTCCTGTCTCTCCTTATCCCATAAATCTCCCACCCTGAGGATTCCATTTTTAACCCAACTCTTACAGGGAAGGGATGAGCTTACCATAACACACTCCCTTGAATCTGTCACCCATCTATTCCCAAAGAGGGGTTGTCGATGGACTTCTTCCCAACGATCTGGGTAGACCTTATCCGGGAGTGGAAGCTTCCGCCAAGTTTGTAGCAGAGAGGGCCAAAAGCTTCCCTATGTCTGGTCGCGTACCTCCGGCCCCCCCCTTCTGAGTGGTAGTTTGCGTGGGACTGTCCAGTAACGATCTTCCAACTATATCAGGGGGTGAATCGTATAGGGGGACTCCGGAGCCAGTCGGGACAGGTGCTCCAAGGCCAGCACACACCATGGGCTTTGAGGGGTAAAGATCAGCTTCTTAATCCATTTGACTCGGTCTCTTATACACATCTAGATGTGTATAAGAGACAGGGCCAGCACACACCATGGGCTTTGAGGGGTAAAGATCAGCTTCTTAATCCATTTGACTCGCAGTGCTTGGACTTGTGTGGCTGGGTCTATTATCCCAAGCCCACCCCCTACTTTTGGCTGGATGATTGAGTCCCAAGCCAGTCGGCTTATGACATTGGTTAGTTCCCCATTTCCCCTCCATAAGAAGGCTGATACCTTCCCTTCAGCTGCCTTAAGGCTGTTTTGCTCAGTGGCCATAACAGGGATTTATACCAGAGTGTCGCAAAGATTACATTATTTATAACTAGAGCGCGACCAAAGAGGGATGTGTGTTTGTTCTTCCAATTGTTAAGTTTTTGCAGGGCCGGGGCACTGATCCATTCGTCGTTTGTTGGCGGTTTCCCCAGGGTGGTCATAGATACTCCCAGAATCCTGATTGGAGCCTCGTTTGGCTGCCAGGATATTCGCGGTATATCTGGGGGCCGACCTCCTTGGTAGTGAATCCACCAACCCTGTGTCTTAGATCCACAGTTTACCCTCGTATCAGATACCGCGGCAAACCTGACCATCATATGTTGGATTTCCTCCATATTACGGTGCGTGGCCTCGACCATTATTGTAAGGTCGTCTGCGAATAATGAGCAAACTGGCACTGCTTCCTCTGGTATCCGTGTGATTTTAATTTTTGAGATATTCTTATTTGCTCGAAGATTGGCTGCTAGGGCTTCCATTATGACCAAAAAGAGGAGGGGGGCAATAGGATCCCCTTGGCGAACTGATCATTGTAGGTGCACAGGGGGGGACACGTTGCCATTTACTTGGACACAAGTAGTCGCGTTTCGGTGCAAAATCTG